TAATCTCTAAAAGACCTAAACAAGGGCAATCTCTATGAAACAGTAAAATCAAAGCTTGACTGAAGTGATTAAAAAGAGATATACGGAAAGTGGAGTTAGAACCTATAAACAATTCTTTCAAAATGGTTCGTTGAAAAGGGATCAAGAGAAATAGGACAGCAGCTGAAAGGAAATGTGTGGATCAAGAGATTCTGTTTTTTGTTCTTTCATTTAGATGAAGGATGCTACAAGCATACTTATATACTGATGAGAATGATTTGGAAAACAAGGAAAAGCTGATTATGCAAGTGAGAAGATAATACAGCAAAGCATGTAGAGGTACAGGAGTTAGGAATCAGAGCATAAGTAGGGAGGTTAATATTTGATAGGAGCAGAGACATAGAACTTAAATGCAAGGGAAGGAAGTGTGTGTAATATGTTGGTAGATTTGTGGTAGAACATAAACATATTACTATACGAGTAGTTTAATTTTATCAAGAAAAGTCAATATGGGGGTGGGAAGGCACATAGGTTGAGGAGAAATAGGTAAGTAGCTAGAAAGTAGTAACCTGACTATATATGTACATATATACATGCATATTTGCACATATAATGGATGGGTATTTATGTGTGTGTGTGTGTGATCCGGGAAAAAACCAAAATATTTCAAAGACATCTTCATTACATATTTTAAAGGCATTTTCATTAGGGCTAGAGGCATGGCTTAAAGTGGTAGAGCATCTGCCTAGCAAGCATGAGGTTCTGAATTCAAACCCTAGTATGGCAAAAAAAAGACATCTTATTAGAAGACCTAAAACTTTTTTTACCCCAAGGACTCTGATAAGAGTCCTCTTTTTCCATAAGATAAAGATTAAGTGAGAACTTCTTAATGCCATACATATTTCTCACATTTAATTTTTTTCTATTACAGAGTAAATGACAGAAACATTTTTACCTACTCTATTTTGTTTAGTGCAGAAAGATGTATACTGTATGCTCAACCTGTTGATTTTCTCAAATACTATTTCAAAGGCTTTTGAGCTCCTATCTAAGTTTAAAAGAAAGACAAACAGGCACTAATCTTTTTGTAAAAATTATTTATTTTATTTTATTTCCATATGGAAAATACTACCATCTGTCATTTAGAAGAAATACATGGGCAATATGGTTGTTTTGTTCATTGTCCTCCTCCCTATCCTACAGAAAAGATGTGATATTTTAATAGTATTTGGTGCTTTATCTCTGGATAGACTGTATATAATTCAATGTGTTAGAATTTAAAGGTACATATTTATTTTTTGGGCTGGATGTGAAATAAGACTGTGAATTATGGAATAAGATTGCTCTCCAGTTTTTTACTGTTCTATCATAGACATAGACATATAATGGATTTGTGTGGACATATAAGTTATTTGCTTAGATATTTAAATGGCATCAAATTTTAAATGGTCAATGATTTCAGCAGATTCACACTCATAACAGTTAAAAAATCTTTGTAGCACAAATCCTAAAATGTTAAATTTAATACTAAATAGATTTCTATAAAATATCTAGATAACGTGTTTATATGGAGACATTTAGTCCCTCATGGAGTTATATTTAACTAATGAAAAACTGCAAGTGAGAATATTTTTTCTTCTTTTATGTATGTGATTATTAAAATGTATTTGTAAATTGACATGAAGCTATTTATCATTAATTAAAGATTTAGCACTATACCCATCTCCTCAAAGAGGAGAAGATCATTTGTGAGGATGAGGAAGTGCAGCACTGCATTCTTTCTTTTCAATTTGATATTATATCACCAGTTAGATCTTCAATATCTGCCTTCTGCTCTGGTTCCTTACACAGCCTATGTTCTCTTTCTGGTTGTAATCACAATATGGTAGAGAGAGATGAACACATAAAAAGGTGTTAATTGAACTGCAATCCTACCTATTATCTACTTTACTATAGCAGTGAAGTAGTGCAGATTTATTTGAAAGTGGTATTATTTTCATATAATAAAAATCTGTATCATGATTGTTTTATGTAAATTTTCATGTGCTGGCATGCTTACAAGTTAATAGAGTTACAGAATGCTCAGCTCTCAACATGAGGGATTGTTTTTTTTTTCATTTTTCTTTTATTATTCATATGTGCATACAAGGCTTGGTTCATTTCTCCCAACATGAGGGATTGTTTACAGTGAATTGCATTACATATGTCGCCTACTTGCTGAAAGAATATGGTGTTTAGCAAAACAACCTGCTAAGCAACATAAGATTTTTGTACAAAGTACAAATTACTAATTATTGTATTTTATTTTTCTATGATTTCCTAAGAGGCATCATCAGGGTCTCTCAGATGGAGAAAGCCTGTTTATTAAAATATCTATTAGCAAATAAAAGTTAAAGTTTGGTGGTTGAATTTGTGATATTTTATATTGTTGTATTAATGTATGCTTAATGTAAGTTACTTTTTAATTTATTAAATTTAGATTTTCTTTATAACTTTAATAATTCTGGATGTAAAGTATAACAATTTTTCAAAATAATAACATTAAAGTCTGCATATAAATTCACATAAATCACTCTGACTAGCACATATGTTTATACAAACTTTACAGCAGTATTTATGAGCTCCAAGTGAATTATTCATTGCAAAGGCAGTACTATACACAAATTGCAGATAACAAAAAAGACGCACATAACATCAATGTTCCTTCTAAAATTTCTAATAAATTATAAGTTAGGAATTTCCTATATTCACTTAAAATTGCTAGTAAGAAAAAACACTGTCAAGTATCCTGAATTAATCAGAATAGTGCTATGTTCAACGTACATCACTCTTTTCTTTATAATTTTCCTACTATAGTTCCGAAAGTCAGTATGAAGTTAAAATTGATAAGGAGGTACTTACAACTGTCTTCTTTCACACATGCATATTAATTAAGTAGACTTAAGAAAATCACGCACCATTTGCAAAGCTTGTTATTCTCATAATAAAATGAAGAGTCAAACTAACTTCTTAAATTAAGTGGAACAACTGTATGCTGCTCAAGAGCAGTTTCAGTTTTCAAAGCACCAAACTAGCAGAGCAGTTTCAGTTTTCAAAGCACCAAAATAGCAGATTCAACCCTATGAAATATTTACTTTCTTTTAAAAGTTGACGTTTTTAAGACTGACATCTAGATCACTGAGTAAATTGTGAGTTTCAAGACAAGTTTTTCAGCTCTACTAATAAGACATCGCATCAATTACACTTATTTAGGATGATGATTTATTCACATTTTACTTGTTTTATTAAAAAATTCTGAGTTTACTGCAAAATTGGGTGTTCAATCTGCCTATTCTATTTCAAGATTTTACCAATGTCTTGTGCTAAGTAAAAATGTATGAACTCAAATTAGGGGTGAAAACTTCAATTCCAAGTAGGAAAAATTAAGTCTGTTCACAAAAGTTATCCTTAACATCTCTGCTTATGTCTAAGAAAAACATTGCCATATTCCATCTATAAGCAAATTACCTTCCATGTCTTGTCAAAGTGAATCACAACATTCAGACACACAGAAAAGTAATCAACACTTCCCTGAAAATGCATTGAGGGTCAGAAGTTAAAGGACCACATTTAGGGGTTGGGTCAATGATCTATATAATTAGAAAAAAAAATCAGGACAAAGGATGATAGGAAATTATTTATTACACACCTACTATGTGTCAAACATCTATACTTCTATTATATCACTAATCCTCAAAAACACTAGCATTATTTTGAAGACGAAGAAGCTGAAGCATAGAGAAAGATTAATCGGCCTAAGGCAACATAATATGGCGTATTTCCACACTTTACATTCTCAAGGACATTTACATAGCAATACTGTGTAGAAGGTTTTTGTTTTGTTTTGTCTTGTAGTAGTCAGGAGCACAAACCCACATTTTTTTTGCAGAGTAAAAATTTGGAAAAAGACAAAATAAAAGGCATCCCATAATCATAATTCTACATGTGCAACTCTCCTTCCCACCATCATTATTTTCATGGAATTCCTTTCAGATTTTTTTCCACCCTTGTACTCTATTTAATGGGTCAAACTGATTGACAGGCCAAAGCACAGATAGTGTAAAAACATAACACTAGCCAGCGGGAAAGGAAAAATAAAATATCATACTCATAGCTAACAAGGAAAATAAGAGACAACCCCTCTTTAAGGAATGTTTAAGTCATTCATTAGAGGTGAAGCCGGTGAACTTGGACAAATTGAAAGTCTGGTCAAAAAAAAAAAAAGTCCAGATCTTTAAAATGACTGCATCTATAGTTCGTCCGCTGGAAAACTTCAGAGAAAAAAAAAAATTCGGGGGGAAGGAGGAGAGTGCATTGCTAAACATTTTCGAGGATCATTCGTTATTATTACTATAAAATCCACGTGCAATTAAAGAAGATAACTAATTTTAAATACCACTAATGCCTTTTCCGACAACCAGATTCTGGGGATTGTAATCTAATCAGAAGAGATTATGACTGATTGAAAACTCTTTCCAAACAGCTAAGAAACAAGGCTACAGGCATATTTCCTTTGCCAAATAATGTCTGGCATTTTTTTCCTAGTTTAGGAAAAGAATATACTACCAGATAATTGCACGACCTTTTACGCCAGTTCCTTTCCTCTCCCAACGTAAATTAAACAGCTTTACTTCTCCACGACTCAGCGTCAGAGGCCTAACAGAGGCTGGGGGAGGGTCGGTGCGATGCGCAAGGGGTCAGCTTTGGCGGCCGTCTTGCCCGAGTGGGCACCGGCGTATCCCGCACTCGTTGTCGCGCACTTACTTCCGCCCGCGCGGGGTAACTACGCAGGGAGTGTGCGTCCTCAGCGCCATACAGGCGCCAGCCTCTGGGAGAAACTAAGGGCGACCAGCGACGTAAGACGCACGCAGTAAAGGCCGACGCAAAATGTTACCCAGCATGCTGTGCGCACGCGTACACCTCCCATCATGCTCTACCACAGATTGCACGGCAACCCACAGGGAATTGGCAACTCATTTTGTCTCTCATGCTCACCCTTTCTTTATTAGAGTTCCTCGACCGACATGTCCCTGACCTTTGTTCCCCGAGAGCTCTTCAATCCCAGAAGCAAGAGCACAAGGACTAAAAAGCTAACATACCCGCCTCTACAGGAGGCGTGGCTTCAAGACCGGAAGAAGCTGTTGCCAAGGGAACGTGCGCGCGGTGGCGCCTGCTCAGCCACTGATGCTCCAATCCTGCCAGAGACTGCGGGTTCCCGCACCTCGTAGAGGCGGCTTTGCTCCGGACAGGGGATCCTTCCTAAGGAGGCGTAGAAGAGGCTGAGGCACCTGCTGTCAGCCTCCCATCCCAGACTCGGGAGCGAGAGAGTGCCCCCATTCCTGTTCTCGCCAGTTCCCGGTCTCTCCGGACTAGCCTCAAGCATCAGGTATCTCCCTAGCTTGTGGCCACAGGCCCTCCTCTCCCTATCAGGTTTAGAACTTTGCTCTTTCTCACATTTTCACTCCAAACGAGTACTTGTTTCTGATGTGTGAGAGATGGAAAAGGAGAATTGGGTTCCTGTGGTGAGTGCTAGGGACCCTAGAAAACTTAACGGCTTGGGCAAACCTTTTTATATGGTGCTTGGGACATGTGATTGAAGTTTCTTTATCAAAAACTGAAAGTTGAATAAGAATGAATTTGTAGTAAGAAACAATTCTCAACAGTTCACTCAAACAGCACGTCTAAAGTTTGCAAAGTAGCATTTATGGGTTATCTCGGTCTGCAGCTTACCTTCCAAGCTGTTAACGGTGAATAACATGTAAATTTTTCAGGGCTTTTCTGGCAACATGTAATTCTATGGGAGGCTGATTTTCAGAGAGCAGCGAGGGGAATTTGATGTATAAAGAGAGGGAAACAATTAGATGAAAATTTGGAAAAGGTAGACTGAAGCCAGGTTGTGAACAACCTTAAAATCTATGCATGACCACTGCTTTAGAGATTACAGGAATGTCAAAGAGGCTAAGCAACTGGAAAAATCGCACAAGTAGCAGGCCAGTAGTCAAACCCAAATGTTCTTGATTCACATACAGGAGTTGTTCCATTGTAGCAAATTGACCTCAGATGTCTGAATTCTGCCATTATTGTACAGTACATAAAGATTTTTAAGCTGAAGATATTTTTCCAATAAGCTATCCAGTAGTGTTGAGACTGGCTACTCTCAACATCAGCTTTCTACATTTTTCCTAAACCAAGATTGTAATTTTCTTTTAAAATTTTAAACATTAGAATAGTTTTGAAGAAATTAAGATCGTTGGATAATCAAAAATAGCTAAATATACTTTGTGATGTATGCCTCACTGTTTATTATCCACCTCCACATCCTGCTAGCTCACTTTCAATGTTCAGAATTGTGATTATCAAATTGGCCTAATCTTGTCATCTCTTATTGATTAAGTCTCTTTCGGTCTCGGAGTTTTTGTGTTTTAGTAAGAATGATCTGGACTAATCTCAGATTAATCATAATTAGCCTTTGGAAAACCTTATTGTTGTTCAAGATCTTGCTTTCTATAAACTTAGACAAAAAGAAGAAAATGGGAGGAGAAAAAACCCTAAAAGTATCATACAAGATGTCTCCTAGATAAGCACGAAATTTTTCGTATCATATTTTTCCTTATAACTGAAGGCATTAAAATCTCTGTGAAAGGTATGCAAACCATTGAAGAAATCTGTCATTCTGAAATAAATACACTAAGAAGAGGGAACTTGCCTTATCAAATGATGAAGTGTATTATAGTGGTGCAAGAATTAAAACATTGTAGTAGTAATATAGACAGACCAAACCTATAAAAGGGTAGATCAGGTTTCCCAAATTATATGCACATGAAATGCTTCCCCAAAAGGTTTCCATGGACAAGTGCCTGTCAGAAATATTACTTTCTTTAGTCACCTCTTAAGAGATGTTCCTTCAAGGAAAGTTCTTTCACTGTGCTCTCTAGACATGGTAAATAAATGAAGTACCTTGAATTATCTTTTGTTCCTTTCATTTATGCATGAAGAAAGTAAACTTACAGAAGGAAAATTATGATTACTAAAAAATAGAAGTGTATATGAGGCTGTGTTATAATTATAAAGCAAGTTCAATAAATTTGATTTATACCCTTTAGAAAAACTGACTTCTGTTTTGAATTGTATATCTGAAAATATTTCAGTAACAAATATCAGGTGTTTGATAATACATGGGAAAGAGATGGGTCAACATAAATTACTATAAAAATGAATATTCAAACATCAAGTTTTTAACCATCAGTGCTTTGTAGTAGATGTCCAGAAGGGGGAAAATGTAAAATGGTGCCCATATCATAGTTTTTAAAAATATTTTCAAAATTGTATGAAAAATTTATTTATTTATACCAATGTGTTTAGTGCAATAAATGGAGTAACAGCAAATTTACTTTGAATTAAGATGATATGTAAGTTGTTTTACATCAGAAGTTTAATTTAAAATAGACTACAAGTCCTAGTCCTTAAGCTAAGATTCAAAGTAATGTTTTGAGTGAGATTTGAATCTATAATATGAAGAGAAAATTTGATCCAGCTGGCACAAATGGAAGTACCACAGGTCAGGCACACCCTTTGAATAAGACAAAGATGGCTGTATTATAGGCCTCATGATTGAGTGAGGCATGAACTTTTTCTTTTCTGCACATTGTTAAAGTTTGGCCTTGAAATTTATACATATAGAGATCTCCAAAGGGGCAAAATGGCCCCTGTGCTACCTCCTTTAGATGCATTTGTCTTTGAAGCCTCCAGTTCCTATTAATTAAGTTGTTACAGCCTTATGTCCTTCAAAGTTTGGCCTTATTTGGGATGGTATAGAATAAAATATACAAAATGAGCTATAAGATATCAAGTTAATGGAACCTTAGATGAAGATGAGAATAAGTCAATTAAAGTGAAATTGATATTAGAGATTTTTTTGAATGACTGTTCAGGGTAATGGGAAATATTTGGTACTCAGGTGTACTATAGTGGTATCTGCAGCACTGAAGGTTGGCAAAAGGAATATGTCTCCTCTCTTATCAATAGTAATATTTGTTTGGTGATAAACTCAAAGCAGGCTCCTTAGAAAAATTTCATTTGGAGACCACAGCTGTAAATTATAACAGTATGGTATAATAAAAAAAAGCCCTGCCCAAACTGGAAGTAACCAAACAAGCAAACAAAAAGAGTGACTATTTTATCATTTCATATTATTGTAAAATATAACAATGGTTTGGTGTCAGATTTAACTAACGGCCTAAATGTTTTAGCCAGAAATCTCAGTTTTTCTCTGCTCTTCTTGTCTATCTTCTACTTTCTGAGCTTCAGCATCAGACTCTATGTGAAACTCAGTGCCTGTGCATTGTTCTGATTTCCTAGAACAGCTGCAGCCTAATTCATAACTCCCTTGAAGGATTAAAATTGTCAGACTCCATACAATAATGAGGAGTAATTTTCTTCTTAAATATTATAAATTACAGTGAGAAATGTGAGTATTTCAAGAGCATTATTCTGTGTTGACAGGGTTTACAAACTGTCAATCCGCATTTCAGTTAAGGCTCCTGTCTGATAATCAGCTTATACTCTGTTTACTAAGTGCAAAGTACATTGACATGGTTTTTACACTGTCATTGTAATTGTGTCCTTTAAATTATTAAACTTTTTGTGCACATACCATATATAAGGTGCCTCTGGATGATACGTGTTTTTTCCTTTGTAGTGCTTTGTACATATTTGAATTACGTTATGGGATTGCTAGATAGACTTTCAGACTTGCTTGGCCTAAAGAAGAAGGAGGTTCATGTTTTATGTCTTGGGCTGGATAATAGTGGCAAAACAACAATCATTAACAAACTTAAACCTTCAAATGTAAGTATCCTTGTTACAGACTTTATGTATTGTATGCTACTAGGGAAAGGTAGTACAGAGAATTATTTTGTGTGCCATTATAGCTTCATATAATCATGTTGTAAAATGCTATTAATCTTGTAGTAGTTTAATGTGTAAGCCTTAGTAAGCCATTATTTGCAGTTTGTAGGTAAATCTTGATTATTAAAATGGAATTTTTTTTCATTGTTTTTTTCTAAAGATCATTCACATTTGCCAAGTTTACTTTCAAGCTGTATTGCCTTTTTAGTTCTCTCTTTATGGAAGGAACAACAAAAGGTACAGAGATTCATTTTTATAGGTTCTGTGGGTAATTAGTTTTCTCCAAAAGTGTAGTGTGCATATCAGTAGTAGTAGGTGGATATTTTAAACAATAAATGTGTGAATGTATTATTTTAATAACTGAAAAGTATGTAAAGCTAGTACATTCAACACCATGATACATGTTAGAAATAACAGTCCTTTCATAATTTCTGATATCATTTCCTGAACCTCAGTCTTTTTTTTTGCTGGGGGAGCAGTATTGAAGTTTGAACTCAGGGCCTGGTGCTTGTTAAACAGGCACTTTACCACCTGAACCATGCTCCAAGTTCCTTTTGCTTAGTTATTATTTAGATAGTGTCTTGTACTTTTTGCCTAGTGTTTTCTTCACATCGCCTCCACCTCCCATGTAGCTGGAAATGCAGTCATGTACCACCATGCCTAGCTTGAGTTGGATGAGGATCTTGATAACTTTTTGCCAAGGCTGACCTTCACCCACAATTCTCCTGGTCTCTCCCCCCTGGGACACCACCACACCCAGCTGCTGAACCTCAGTCTTTAGGCAACTGTCTTGTTTCAGAAAAATTGCCTTCTAGACTGTAAGAGCAGAATAACTGTCTTTGCTTTTTTGTGTGTGTTTTGTTTTCAGTTTAATAATAATAGCTAAAGGAACATTTTTTGAATGAGGACTTCTTAAAGACCCAGACTTCTGCACTTAGATGTAGTAAACATTTGTTTCCTTTCTTTGAACTCAAGAATTTCTTACGAGCTTTCATTCACATGAGAAAAATATTTTATTGAATTATTTATATTAATTATAGAAATCTGCACTGCTGTTAGGAAATGTCTTGTAGAACACTTCCACATCTCATTTTACAGGAATGTTTTCTTTTTGTTTTGTGTGTAGATAAAATCAATTTCTAGATAATTAGATATTTCCTGAACCCAAATCCAGTTTAATATTGAACTAGCCTAATGTTTATTTATTGTTAGTGTGCTGAGGTTGCTGGAATTTTCTCAACTCTTGAGTAAAGAGATAGGGAGGACATTTTCACCTGATCATTCTTTTTAAGAGTCTGTGTCAGAGTCAAGCGCCAGTAACTCATGCCTGTAATACTAGCTACTCAGGAAGCAAAGGTCAGGAAAATCACAGTTCGAACCCAGCCCAGGCAAAATAGTTCATGATACCCTATCTTGAAAAAACGAACACAAAGGAGGACTGGCAAAGTGACTCACGGGTGGAATGCTTGCCTAGTAAATGTGAGGCCCTAAGTTCAAACCCAAGTCCCACCAAAAAGTAAATAAATAAAAGAATCTAGGTCAGCCACAATGGGTCATGTCTGTAATCCCAGCTTCTCAAGAGGCAGAGATCAAGAGGATCAAAGTTGGAGATCATCTTGGACAAAAAATTTACCAAGACCCCATCTCAACAAGCAAGCAAGGTATGGTGGTACACAACTAAGTATCCCTCTACATGGGAGTAATAGGTTAGCAGATTGCAGTCCCAGGTCAGCCCTGGGGAAAAGAGAGAACTTGCCTAAAAAATAAACCATAACAAATGAAGTATTGGGTACATGGATCAATTGGTAAAGCACTTGTCTAGCAAGCAAGAGGCACTGAGTTCAAAAAACTCAGTCCCTCCAAAATAAAAATAAAAATAATAGTTTCAGCTGTCATTTTCATACAGATACTCTTTCTTTTAAAATTCCAGTCTTTTCCCCACTTCCAAGAAATCTGAAATTATCTTTCATATTCATTTGATAATTTACCTACTAAATTTCTCCTCAGCATAAATAGAGCACTTGTTAAACATGGAATTACGAATACCCAGAATAATGCTTAACGCTTAAGTATATTTTCAGATAAACAGATTGATGGATTTATTTTTTAAGTTTGGGCTAGGGGATTTTGATTAATGTCACTGAGGATGTCACTTTTTGCAGACTCAGTGAAGCTAAGCAAATGGGTTAGTTTCTCAGAGAAATTGTGTTCTATTCATGTTGATTATTCAGGTTGATGTTGGTCTGTCTCTAGACTACTTCAGAGGCCCATTCTACATCCTTTGCTTTTTTTCTACCATTCCCTGTCCAATGGGAGACTGTCTAAATGTATTTGTTCCTGAATACTTCAGAGTTGGAGATTCTTTTGAAACACTTTAGAGGAAAAAATGAGTTTCACATGACTCTGAAAGCACTAGCTTACTTATGTTCTATCCTGATCAATTTATGGAGTTCCTTTCCTCTAATTATTGCCAGGAGAACTTTGAGGGGAAGAAAAGAAATTTTAGATTGTGGAGAGGCTAGGTGAATGTTCTAATTACAATTCAGTGAAGATAATGTTATTTTTTTGATATATATTTTCTAAGATTTCTGTAAACTTTTAAATTTACTTTAACTTAAACCTTTTTTTATTAGTATGTTTTTCCTCAGTAATAGGTGATGATTTTTATCATGTGATTGAAGCAGTAAAAACCTTCAAAGATGGTGTGTTTGGGAGGAACAGTAAAAATTAGGAAGCTCTTATTCAAAGCTTCTTGTGGAAGGAACCCCAAAGAAGATGGGAGGAATCTTAGTACCAGGAAAAGAAACATTTTTTCTTGCAAACAAGAAGAAGGAAATTTTTGAAAAAATACTAGGGCAGCTCATAGGATGGACGGAAAAGCTGAATAAACAAACTTCAGAAGGTAAAAGCAGGGCAGCTTTCTGGAAGGCCTTATCACTAGTACACTGCTAGTAAGGTGACATTTCAGCTTCTGTCTTTCCACATGAATTTAAATTTCCAAGAAGTAGATAAACTGCCACAGTGAATATATTTGATGCGAGGGGAAATTTATTCTCTGCTACTCCTGTTTTCATGGAAAAGCGACAAAATAAACTGAAAGGGGATTCTTCTTTTTTTTTTTAACTTATACTTGAGACAGTATGACAAAACTTGGACAAGACTGAAGTCAATCTTGAAGGTATAATTATAATAACAAGCATTTGTGGAGTGTTTAGACACTGTGTTGAATATTTTGTAACCATTAACTCATTTAGTTGTCCTGTAACTTTAGGAGCTAAGGATAATAGTGTATTTCACATTTAAGAAAACCTAGACTTAAGTAACTTGTGCCAAGTAACATTAGGAGGCTATTGTAGTAATTCAAAGCAAGAAATGATAAGGGTCAGAAATAGGTTTGTGGGATAGAACCAATAAAGCTTAGAGAATTATTGGATATGGAATGTAAAAAGTACAGATATTTATAAGCATCTGTATCAAAAAATGGATTGATTTTTATCCAAATGGATGAAGTTTTGATGCTGGAAGTGCTGGGAGGGATTTGATGAGTTAGGTAGTCAGTATAATACATTTTAATCACGTGTTAGACTTGTCAGTAGGTACTCTTTTTTGTACTCCTTGCCCTTTTGAATCTTACACAGAACTCCCTCCCAGGGCCTTCAGACCCTACCTTTCGTACCTCAGCATACTCACTCATTTACTTATCTATACATTTTAGACATACAGGGCTTCTGTTGTCCTGAGCATCGGGTTCCTTCCTGCCCTAGGATCATTGCACTGGCCAAGTCCTCTGACTGCACTGTTTTTTGCCAAGAACTTATAACTTTTCCCCTTCCTGCCATTCATTCCTGGGTTAGATGTCATTTCCTCAGAGTAGCCTGAAATGATGACTCTTCTTCCAAGCTACAGTAATAACCCCTTCTGCCCTGTTGCCTCCCACTCCCAGCCACGTTTTTGCATTTACAGTTGTCCTGATTGTGCTCATTTGTGATTAAGTTAATTGTTGTTTACCTTCTCTGCAATAACTTTTTTGAGTAAGGATTGTCTAAATGGGAGAATAATCCAAAACATACATAAAATCATTAAGTACCAAAAAGTATGTGTTGAAAGATTCCAAAGCCCTGCTTATTATCTCAGGATTACATACTAAATCCCTTGCAAAAACTTTTAAGTCCTTATTAACTTGCTTAATATAACAAAATGTGAATTAAGATATATGTGTTAATACAGATTGGTAGTTAATTAACTGTAAACTTTTATAAAGCATTTGTTTACACACAATAATCCTGTTGCAAAAATTATAATTCTGTCATCTTAGTGGTATATTTTAGACATAGAAAAGTCTTTACTTTTTTTAACCTAAGGAAAAGTAATTTGATAATTACATTGGTAATTGCAAATTTCTAAGTTATCTTCTCTTTTAAAGGCTCAATCTCAAGATATTGTTCCAACAATAGGATTCAGCATAGAGAAATTCAAATCATCCAGGTAATATACTTTATCCTTGTTGGTAAGAAGTTGCCAGTAAAAAATAACATTACATCTACCTGGTCATCCCGCCTAATCTTAGAAAAGTAATTTGTTATTTTAGAAGCCTGTAGTAATTAACATTTTTATATCGCTACCTCTAGTTTATTTTCCAACACTTAAGAGTTTAGACAAACTCTGATATCCTTATTAGCAAAGAAAGCACCTTTCTTACATATTTTTCATTGCAAAATCCTATTTATATTAGTAAATTCCTTTTTGGAACTCTTACTTGAATATTGGCCGATGTTGATTATCGTGGCAATTTCCTTCAAAACAATTTGAAATATTAAGTAAAAGTCACATTTTAACTTAGTAGCCTAAGGCAGGCATGGTGGCACATGCCTATAATTTCAGCTACTTAAGCAACAGTAATAGGGAGGATTGCTGTCCAGCACCAGCCTGGGAAAAAAGTGAGACCCTATCTGAAAATAACTAAAGTAAAAAGGACTGGAGGTGTGGCTCAAGTGGTAGATCACCTGCTTAGCAAGTATGAGGCCCTAAGTTCAAACGTCAGTACCACACACACAAAAAAGTTAATAGCTTATAATGTAGTCATCATGCTATGCTTCCTCTTCTTTTTTTTTTTTTTTTCAGTTTGTCTTTTACAGTGTTTGACATGTCAGGTCAAGGAAGATACAGAAACCTCTGGGAGCACTATTATAAGTAAGTGTGTCTCTGAATTTGTGAATGCTACTTAAGTAGATGGTTATATTTTAATAAATAACAATTGTAAATCCAAATGATTATATGGACTACGTTATAATTATATTTATTTCATATAATTTAAGCATGCTTATTAATTTAAAAATATATAATCATACTTCACATTGTTTCACAAATACTTCAGGTCCTTCATGACATTGGACCTTTGCATGTGCTATTCTCCATTTTCATTCCCCTTTCTATCCTACTTCATTTTACGTTTCCTTTATCTATGCTTTGTGAATCAGCTCATGCTAGGCATGGTGGTGCTAACCTGTAGTAGTCACAGTTGAAAGGCTGAGGCAGGAGGATTGTGAGTTCAAGGCCAAGCTGGGCTATGTAGTAACTTTGAGGCTAGCCTAGGCTATTTGTAGCAAAACCTGTCTCAAAAGAAAAGGACCAACTCAAAAGTTTCCTTACCTCAGGTTTTACTGTTTTCCCATTTATTCTGTCCTTAGTGTTTGCACAGTGCTTTCGTCATTTAAATCTCTGTAACTATATTTACTGTGTCTTAAAATCAGGTCCCATAGCTGCCTCCCTCATAGGACTGTGAAGTCCTCAAGGAGAGGCATCTATTCCTTATTCAAATTATTTTTTCAAGGCCCAGTATGATAGTCTATAGATCAGAAATCTGTTGACCAAATTTAGTTAAAATAACACTGTTGTCTAACATATAGTCTATTTTATGAGCAATTCTAAACAAGATATTTTTCAGCATGCAAAAATTACTTCAGATTGACAGCTGTGAAATTACTAGGATTCAGACATGTTATGGCTCCTTAAGATTTGCATATGGTATTAAAGCAATATCATTAACTTCTAATATTACAAGATTCCTTCATTTAAGAGCAGTGTGAATCATGTTTGAAGCCTGAAATTTAAAAACAATATTCCTTAACTAAACTCCTTTTTGTCATTATGAACTACTGCCTTGAAGTCTGTCAGATCAGATTTAGATTTTAATTGATTTAACTCTTTCCTGCCAATGTGAGAACAAGCATCATATTTGGGATAAGAACCAAAGGGGACTGATTCCAGACACTTTTCAGTGAGTATTTTAATAGCTCAAAGGCCTGTTTAAATCCTGGAGCTCCAGAGGACCTCTGACATCCAGAGAAACCCATTTGGAACCCATTTGGAAAAGAAAAAGTTATGTGTTTGTGACATTCTGCATTGAATTCCTAGGAAAGACACTGAGCTTTCATTTTTATTTCATCTTTTTTTTTTTTTAAGGAAACTTGAATTTTCAGTATAGGACTTTTTAAACTTTTTCTTCTAATTAATTGGTAAACCGATTAATTTCTTTCCTCTCTACTTGTGAAAAAATACTGCTTCCAGGAATGGAGGGAGGAGGAGGGATAAAGGAAAATGATGGAGGGGGTAAATTCAACTATGATATATTTGATATATTATAAGAACTTTTATAAATGCCACAATATACCCCCAGAACAACAAGAAAAAAAAGAATTGTATTTTAATCTGTTGATTGGAAAAGGTTAATAACATGTACTATCATTTTTATTTTTACTGTCAAAGTGAGGTAATCCTCTAAGTTGAAAATGTAGTATCCTTTTTCAGCATAATTTATCAATATCTGTTAAAATCAAGAAAAAGTCCATACTCTCCAGCAAGCATATTTTCTTGTAGAAAAGTGTCTTCTGACTAAGACAATTGGGCAAAGATGTACATGCACAGAAGAATGTGCTAGCATTGTTCATGATAACCTTTTTATTATCTCAATTATGTCAAGAAAAATATCCTTAATGTAAACAAATGCTTAGTACATATAGAAAGAAGAAAATTGCTAGTGGAATATATACTAAACCATTACTAGCATTTGTTTTGGAATAGTGAAATTATAAGGGCTGTTTACTTTCAACTTTACGTGATTCTATAATATTAGATACTGTATAATTTTTACACTAAAAAAGTAATGAAGTATAAAACATAAGGAGTACACATTTTTTAAAGTTTGGAGAATGAAGAAATGAATATTAAAATATAAATCTTACTAATAAATTTATTATTAATCTTTTTTATGTTTCCGTTTTAAAGTATATTAATATATACTTTTTATAATTAAAGAAAAAGGAGCCATTCAATTATGTACCATGTGTAGTTTTATATCTTGATTTTCTCAATATTCTAATATGTAGATAAATTGGGACAAACATACAATGAATGTACGTAATGACTCACTAATCTTTTTTTCATATACCTGTACCAGAATTTACTTAAACATTTATTTACTTTTAGGGATGAAGACTATTCTCAATTTTTGAATATTGTAAATAGCCTTCCAGCTAACTTCTTATGTGTAAATCTTAGCCATAGTTCATATTTCTTTAGGCTGAATCCCAGAAATAAAATAACTTGCTCAAAGTGATTGAACACTTTTAAATCTCTTGATAGATATTTCCAATTCTACTGGTTTCTCTAGCCATCAGTAATGGTGACTTTATTAATCTACGTTATCATTATTTAAATAGGAAAAAATAGTATTTTTTTCCTCTGTGGCTGATTTGGATATCATCTCTCTCCTGATGTAAATACGGTATTTTAAAAGTTGGATTTATTTTTATCTATTTGATTGCTAATGACATCAGACTTCAAAATCTTAATTTATGATTGAAATAAATAATTCACAGAGAGTAGATGTCCAATAAACCTATGGAAGACATTAAACCTCACTAGCAATTAATGAAATACAAAGCAAAATAATATGCTTTAAAAATGGCAAAGATTGAAAAGCTGAAAATAACCATTGCTCACAAGTGAGTGGAAAAACTACTAACAGTCATGTAAATTAATACAGCATTCCTGGAGGATACTTCAGCAGTGTTTTTCCAAAACTTTAAGCTATACATAGTCCTAGAAATGTCACTCCTAAGAAAATCTCAAAACATCATAAAATACTTTTTAAAAATATGTGCGGTATTTATCACAAGGTTTTTCATAATTAAAATTTAAAATATCCTGAAAGTACAAGAGTAGAGGTTGATTTAATAATACACTTATGTGCTAGGATACGTTGCAACCATTAAAAGGAAGATGCAGAGGAATCAGAGATTTTTGAAGTGCTGGTATCATCCACTAAACAAGTTCAGTGGCTAGCTATCAGCTCTGAAAAAAGTCAAGTGGGGTAAAATAAAAGCTACCTGTATTGCTTCAGGAGACATTTCAAATGCATTTCTGTATACTTGTGTGTCTACTACATTTCAATGCAAAATGCATTTCTAACCATGGTTTATGGTTTTAAATGTTTCATGTAAAAGTAGTTCATCAAACCATATTGTCAAAACCAAGTAAATTTACATTTTAAAAACAAATGTAAATATATACAAAGTGTCAATTGATTTATATTAAAATATTAATAATTACTGGATCTATGTAAGGGATTATATTAAACTGTTCCATTTTATATCCTAATTTTTCAATAAAAAACTTGTAATTTTTAAAACATAAAATGATTAATTTTACCAAATTATCATTCAAATGAAAAGAACTTTTCCATGAAATATGACTACTCGTTAATACATTAAGCAGCATATAGACTAAGAAAAAACAGTAGAAAAACTTGTAATGATAGTAGACCTAGGACATGAAGCACTTATATATAGGAAATACAAATGGACTATAAATATGGAAAATATAAGTCTACCTTTAATTTTTCACTTTCTTTATATTATGCAGAGATGGACAAGCCATTATTTTTGTCATTGATAGCAGTGATAGATTAAGAATGGTTGTAGCCAAAGAAGAACTTGATACTCTTCTGAATCATCCAGGTATATGTGTGGTTTCTTTCAGTGTATGATATCTGTGCTGTGGGTTTTATTTACTGTGATGTTTTATTCCTTGGTATTAACAAAGTGTTGCTTATATTGCATGATTATCTTCTTTTAAAAATTTTAAAAACATATTAGTTATGCAGATTTTGTAATAGCTTTACCTACATTACTATGTTTTTTACATTTCAAAGCTTTTTGCAATGGTTTTTGAATCCTCTAACATAAATTTCCTCACTAATAAAAATGCCCTTTTCCCTGATTACATGAATAATATGTGTCATTAGGGAAAAATTCAGACAGAAAAAGAGGATAAAAATATGTGTATTTCAACAAATATGCAAATATTTGACCCTTTTGTATGGCTGTTTTTCTGTTTTACTGAGCCTCCTTCTCCAAGCTCAACTGTGTCTGGTTTAAAGCTTCTAACCAGAGGGCAGATGGTCATAGGAAGGTTTTACATTTCTTATCACTAAATACTTGCTTGAGAATATATCTTTAAATGTTTATGTATGTGTGATACAAAGAAATAATTGAAAAATAATTTATTAGATTTTACTTTTAAGGATTTAGGGCAAAGTGATCCAAAATGCTGAACGTGTGATGATAATCTTATTTTCTCTTTTAGATATTAAGCACCGTCGAATTCCAATCTTATTCTTTGCAAACAAAATGGATCTCAGAGATGCAGTGACATCCATAAAGGTGTCTCAATTGCTGTGTTTAGAGAACATCAAAGATAAACCGTGGCATATTTGGTAAAGTTTTATATTTACCTTTCATTTTAACTTTGTGAAAAGTCTCCAAGCTTCAGGATTTGTTTTTTGTTTTTATTTTATAACCTGACCTCTAAAGTGGCTAATCATGGTAGGAAGTAAGCTAATGAGTTTGTTTTACAGAATTGTGACACTCATATTCATGAATACGTTACAGCTAAAACCTTTCAAATCATTTTGGGAATAAGAAAATGTAAACAACTCTAAATAGAATAACTTAAATAGCGGATTTAGTCACCCAACTTCAACTACAATGATTTGTTTCTGTACATGAAATAAACCAAGCACAATGCCATCTCAGGCATTTTCGTTCATACATCCCCCTTGTCTGAATCATTTTCCAAAGCAATTTTCCTGGTTTATTGTTGTACTTCACTGAGGACTGTCATTACTCTGTGACTTGTTCTGTTCTGCCTTGTTTTGTTTTGTTTGTAGTCTGTCTTCTTACATGTGTTATCTTCCAGAGAGCTGGGATTTTATGAGGGTTTTTTTTTCCACTTGTATATTCCTTGTAATAGTGATAGTACCTGGTGCATAATGAGTACACTATAAATCTCTGTCAACATGAAAAAATAGAAATACTGATTTTATTTGGGCATACTAAAATGATTGGAATCTTAAATGATTAGTGTCTGAAATCATTATGAATTGTTTATTTGGAAAACAATTTCTTAGTTACACATTAAAATCCTTCCTACCAAAATAAATGAACAAGGATAACTAGAAATTGTATCTTAGTTAATAACTTAGTACTTATCACTACCTTATTAGCTCCCTTCTACCTGCCTTCCACCCACCTCTCACTGCTGTAAGATGTCCTTCTTTTACCAGAGTTTTCCCCTTTTTATAAGACTTAAAGTAACCAAGGGGAAAGTTTGGACACAGAAGCAGAGAAATGCACTGTTTCTAGAAATGGAAGTAGAATGTAAATCAAGAACATTTTAGAGCTCAGAAAAGAATTTAAGAGCTAGCCTTGGTGCTAAGTAGAGTAGAGGTTGAGAAAACCCTTGAAACTTCCCAGTCCTTCTTGATGCCTCCAGCATCTCTACTCAGGAGGAAAACGTTGTGTATCTTGAGTATAACCTTCCTTCCTTTTGGATCAGAGGAAAAGTCAGTGCCTAGAAATGATTCTTGAATTAGAATTTTGGGACCTGTGGTTTTTGATTGGCAAAGAAAGGTAAGATTCTGGATAGAGAAACATTTTGAGATAGAACCTTTGTATTTCCCTAAATCATACCTGAATTGATTGCCTCTAAAGTAAAATTAATTTACAACATTCAAAAAATACGGATCACCCTCTTTCTACTTAAAATAATTATAAGTTGAATTTTACTGGCTCTATCTATTCAGTTATGACCTTTCAGTAGTATTTCTGTAAAGAAACAGTCACATACTGATGCTTTGAGGGTGTGTGGAATGCTATTGCCAGTTTTGTGTATTTTCTGTATAACTTATAGAAGAATACCAAAAATTTGTTTTAAATTTCTGTGTAGTTTTTACTTCTCCTTAATCCAAACCAGACATCTCTTACTAAATTCAAATTAGTGTTTCATTTGTTATGTTTGTTTTTCATTTTTTGCAATATTTTAAAAATATGTATAAAATTAGAAATATATACTTCTTTTCCAGTTGTAGATGTAAAGATAATGCTCAGTGACACAGATAAAACATTGGCCATCTCTTACCTTAGGTGCAAATACATTTATGGGCAATTGAGAAAAGTCATAAAGCAATACAGTATGGGAAATTAAAGGAAAAATTTTGGTGCTTTATTTTTTACTATTGTACTAAACATATAGTCAACTCTTGATTTTTAAGGCCTGTTTTTGTTGCTAGTCTTCATGTATGTTCTTGGACTTTATTCCTGGCATGATATAAATGTATTTACTTGAGGAAAAGAAAGTTAATAAGTCAATAAATGTATCAATTTTCAGCGGGGAGGATGAAGAAAATTTAAGTAGGACGAGAGAAAAATAATGAGATTTGTTCCCTCTCTGAGGTCAGGGAGCACTTCATATAGGCTTTGAGTATTACCTGACCACAGAGGCCAGTAACAAAAAGTCTCTTCTTAGATGACACTATACCTGGTGTGTTCCAGGAACAGTAGGAAATCTAGGCAGGCTAGAACAGAGCTATGTAGGCAGACATTATAGAAGATGAGGTCACTGAGAAATAATTTGGGGTCATAAAACACCAGGGCATTGTTGGAAATGGTAAGGTATTTGGCTTCTGTTTTATTGATAAGGCTTGTGATCTATTTAAGAGGAAAGATAGAACTTGAATATTGGAAGTTAGGAAAAGATGCAGTGTTTTTGGTAGGATGATGACACATCCACTGGTGGGAAAGGATTTTTTCATCATTACTTGTTTGGGACTGTGTGTATTTGATTAAAATCAATACATTGATTTTTCTTGATGTAAGTATTTCAGACACTGATGTTTTGCTATTACTATGTGTAATCAACAATTTGCTTTGAATAATTATGTATCTTATACTGTTTCTGTCTTCCTATTTTAAAATAATTCTGCAATAAGTCATTCTTAATTTAATGAGTAATTCCTTGAAGGTAATTCCTTTTAATTAGAAACATTGACATTGATTCTTTTAAGTACCATGCTACATTTTACAGTAGTGCTCCAGCACACAAAAATGAACCCAACTCATTCAGAAATTGTAATTATCTATTAATTACTATCATATAATCATATTTTAAAAATAAATAACTAGATTAGTAACATGTTATAAGAAACTGTCAGTCCGTATCTTTTTAACAGTGTTTGATAGTCTAAAAATCCTCTGTATTTTATTATTTTAGTTTATATCACTTAATCATCATTGTATAAAATATCACAATAAGAATTTAAGTTACTTAAGAAAGTAAGACAGTGAAAGTACTCTGTTTTACATGTATACGTTAAATATTTAGTTCTCACAATAACTATGTGAGGTCAATGGTAATATTCTCTCATTATACAGATGCTAAAATTAAAGACAAAAGAGTTAACTAACATAGTCAGATTTCTACACCTAATAAATATAAAACTATGACTGAAATCCACTGTATTTTGATTTTATTTTACCAGGTTACCAAAGTAAGAATCACAGTTTAAACCCTGTATATATCAAATTCCATTTGAAACAAAGACACTCCATTCTATGGCTATATTACAGCCAAAGTCAGGCATTTCAAATAAATGTTATCAAACCATTGGGACTGAGTGTGGAGTAGAATAGTTAACTCTAGATAACTTTTCCATTATGGGAAGAATAACTCAAAGTATATGTGTTGTTAATGTCAGCATAAGTACTATCCCTACAATGCTAACTTTAATGATATAATTCTCAAAACATTTCTACAGATTCTGAAAAAGATTCTCACGTTTTGCTCTTTAACTGTCAGATTTATTTTCTATTTATTTCTAATTCAGTGCTTAACCAGTTTTACTCAAGTATATGTTACTAGAATATATTAATATGCCATTTGGTAAAATGGTAATTTTTTATTCTATAGTTGTATAATATAATGAAATGGATTTTCTTTCAGTGCCAGTGATGCCATAAAAGGAGAAGGATTGCAAGAAGGTATAGACTGGCTTCAAGGTACATCACAAAGTACTGTGCATCTTCAGTGTTTCTTTCTTTTCCCTTTATATTATTTTGTTTTTTACATTTTTTGTTGTATCATTGCCTTTTTTCCTCTTACTTCCATCTTATTTCTGCTGTCAGAAAAAACAGTACAGTAAGTATTCAATACCTTGCTCCATTTACTTTATTAATTCTTAAAGGATTTATTTATAGCATCTCAGCCTCCTGCATAGTTTGGGATGATAGGCATGTGTCATCACTCAGCTTTTTTTCCTTTGAAGTGGGGTCTCACAAACTTTTTATGCCCAGATTGGCCTCAAACTGCAATCCTCCCAATTTCAGCCTTCCAAGTTTCTGAACTACCAGTGCCCAGCATGGATGTACAACTTTCAGTATTCATATTTAGTATTATAAATGCTGGTTTTCTATTGATATTTTTTGTATTTAAAGCTTTTTTCTTTTACCAAAATAGTTATCAGTGGTTGGTTCAGGCCTACTATATTAGGGAATAAATTAAGATATATAATTTTTCCCTAAGATTACATTGTCTGCTAGCCACAGGAACAGCTTGAAGCACACAAAGCAATAAACAGATGTGAATGAAGCCAGGTTCTGTACATCCTTACTGTAGAATCTTGATGGCCAGGTCAAAAGTGTTCAATTTTAAGAACAACTTATTATCATTTCTACTGGGAATGTCCCCACTCTGAACAAGGATAAATTACAAGATATAAATTCTAATTATAATCTTGTAGTTATAAATTCTAATGTCTTCTACACTAGCCTTTTAATACCTGGTATGTGTGATTTTTTTTTCTCTCTCTCTTTTATAGTACATATCACAGTGAATGCAGGAGTAGCTAGCCTGCCAGGACAAAATGTATATTTCTAAACATTTATAAAATGTGATGTTCTAGTTACCTACACAGACTATTTTGTTTCTGTCTCTTGTATTTATGCAGTCATGACATTTACCATTAAATGGCAAAGAATGTTCTAGTCATATTTTACAATTACGTGAAACTTAATTGAAAATTTCTTACAGATTTTTCTGTGAACCCTTAAACTTATTTTCTTATACTGTGTTAATAAGTGGTCGTGCTTATGGGCTTGATTCCTACTAGAAACTGATAAACTGGAAGAAAATTCCAGAGAAGATGCCAAAGGCATGTTGTTTTTTCTAATTTTTTTATTCATTTATTCACATGTTCATACATTGTTTGGGCCATTTCTCCCTCCTACCTCCCATCCTCTCCCTCTCCCCCCCAACACCCCTCGCTTCCAGGCAGAACCTGTTCTGCCCTTATCTCTAATTTTGTTGAAGAGAAGACATAAGCAATAATAAGAAAGACAAAGCATTTTTGCTAGTTGAGATAAGGATAGCTATACAGAGAGATTCCTAGCATTTTTTTCATGCACAAGTGTGTTACAACTCAAGTTGATTCATCTCTATCTGACCTTTTCACTAGTTCCTGATCCCCTTCCCATATTGACCTTTGTCACTTTAAGGTTTCTGTATTAGTTCCTTTGCAGTGGGGACATCAAACACTTTCATGTTTTGGGTTTCCTTCCTATCCCCATACTTCCCATATGTGCTCTCCCCTTAGTATGTGACCCAAATCCAACAACACTGCTGCATTTGCCCTAGATCTAAAGTCTATATATGAGGGAGAACATGATTTTTGGTCTGGTGAGCCTGGCTAACCTCGCTCAGAGTAATGTTCTCCAGTTCCATCCACTTACCTGCAAATGATAAGATTTCATTCTTCTTCATGGCTGAGTAAAACTCCATTGTGTATAAGTACCACATTTTCTTAATCCATTTGTTCATAGTGGGGCATCTTGGCTGTTTCCATAACTTGGCTATTGTGAATACCACTCCAATAAACATGGGTGGGCAGGTGCCAGAGGCATGTTTTCAGCCTGATTTCTTACCTTACCTGTCATTACCACAGTGAAGATATAGCATGGGATGGAAATTCTACTGTCATATAATAAAGTAATTGAAAGCACAATACTTATTGAAAATAAGATGACTTTCATGTAGGTTTTAAATTGTAATGCTCCTGTCTTTTTTTTTAATTCCTGCTTTTATTTTGTCTGTAGCAAATAGGCCACTAGGTGTCAGTAACAATCTAAAGCAGAGTACCAATTGCAATTCCTCCTGAAACCAAATTTTTGTTTTGAGTTTTCTGATCTATTTTATCTTATTCACAAGGCTTTGTAAGAAGGACACATTGTTGGAAATAATTTTGTGTCTTTTTATTTATGTATTAGCTTATGTTCCCTTTACAACTATCTTTGACAATGTGTGGTAGTATCCCTATTTTCTATAAGCAACATGGAAAAGTAGTAAAAAGAGTTGGGCTTTTGAGTCCACTATATTTGTTCTACTACTAAATTAATAAACCTCTCTACCTATTAGCTAACATCTCTTATTTTATGAGGATAATTTTCTTCATCTGTAAGATGAAAAAATTTAAATATACATTATTGCATAGATTAGATACTGTGTTAAAGTACCTAGTATAGGAAAACAATCTATAAATGTTAAAGTTACTCTCGTACATAACCACTCTATTTAGCAGAGGCAGAAACTAAGTACATAGATTTAAAAAAATTTTAAGTGTATCAGTTTGATTTCAAATACGACATCCTTTGCTTAGATTTTCTCTATAATAGTAAATAGTTTACATTTTGGTGTTCCCAGTTAACTCTGCATATGAAAAGAAGTAAAAACTTATCTTGAAAATAAGCAAATATAGGAGACTAGTATGCCTGTAATTGAACTCATTAGCCAAAGGCATTTATGTAAATGTAACTATAAAAGATGATCTGAACTTATATCTGTTCATTCTGTTTTTAAAATCATAACATTTTCTGCTAAAAAAGGCATCTGGTTCATTTTGGACCAATTTAATCTTTCTATTTTAAATTTAAATCTGGGAACTTTCTTGTAAAATACTAAATGACAAATTTAATCCTATGATTCTATTCTGTTTTAGAAGGATTCTCAATAATTATATATGTACAGCATCCTAAAGACAAGAACCCTTAAGTAGACCATAGGGTTTTTTTTTTCTAATTACCAGAAACTGTATTAGAGCTTCAAGTTTTCTAACTTTGAAACTTTCAGAGACTTCTTCCCAAAAGGCTAATGAAACCTTCATTTTATCATATTATGCATGGAAAAAGTTAATATTGCTTCCAGATTTTTGTTTTGTTTTGTTTCATTTTGAGTTCCTGAGGATTGGCCCCTGACTCTCATATATGCTTGGCAAGCACTGCTACCACTAAGCTATATGCTCAGCCCACTTCTGAATTTTAATACTAGACTTTTGCATACTATGCATATTGGATATGCCAGTGAAAGATAGAGAATTAAAGATATGCTTCAATTTTACCTCCTCCCCAAATATCACTAATGATTAAAGGGCCTTTTGAAAAAACATTAACCTACATAGGCCTAAAGAATGGAAATGGTGAAACTGGCAACCAGACATTGGGAACTGGATATCTTGATGTTGAATGACTTAACAGACCTCAGAAAGCTGAATCCAAAGCTAACACTAAGAAAAGCTCGAACATATCCTAATTTACTTTGCAAATGGTCTCTCTCAAAGGCACAGAAAATGGTATAAGTTGAAAATAAGGATGATGGTAGAGATGAAAAGAGCACAGTTATGCATCCTTTCCCCTAAAGAATTCAAGGGTTATTCTTTTCAAAAAGTCAAACACTGTGTGCTTACACTGGAAAGTACCAGCCACAACTGTATGTGGTAGTATTGAGCTGAAAATGAGGAGTGGCTGAAAGTTTACATATGGAATATTGTGATTCTCTTCTGTCTTTCTCCTACTTCTCCCAGAAAACACTATAGACAGGCAGACTTTAGGAAGAGTCATCTCTGAGGTATCAGACTAGCCTAAGAGAAAAAAACCTAAAGGTATTAATATTGGAGATTCCTAAGGAAATGGCTTAGCAAAATGAGCTAGAATGATGACCACATGTGACAAACCTCACATACATTGCCAAGTTTCAGTCATTCTTTTTAGTGTTCATGCATGAGCAGATGGCAAAGGATCACCATTTCAGCATAAAAACATGAAATATAGGAATGTAAACAAGCAAGAAAATCAGATTAGAGAAGGTACAATTTAACTATTAGAGAGTATCCTCAAAGAAATAAGAGAAGATGCCATTTTCATGAATGAGACCAGGATACTACTAAAAAGGAGCAACAGCAACAACAAAAACAATGAGTTCTTGGGAAGTTAGAATAGTAAAAATAGAAAACCCAATAAAAAAGAAAAGAAAACAGAGCAAGTGGTGCAAAGGGGCAAAGCATAGGAAGTTGGAAAGAAAAAAAAAAAAGTAAGATAGACAAAGGACTGATTACCAGAATATACAGGGAACTTAAAAAACTAAACTCTCCCCACACCAATGAACCAATAAAGAAATGGGCAACTGAACTAAACAGAACTTTCTCAAAAGAAGAAATTCAAATGGCCAAAAAACACATGAAAAAAAGCTCACCATCTCTAGCCATAAAGGAAATGCAAATCAAAACCACACTAAGATTCCACCTCACCCCTATAGAATAGCTATCATCAAAAACACCACCAACAACAGGTGTTGGCGAGGATGTGGGGAAAGAGGAACTCTTGTACACTGCTGGTTGGAATGCAAGCTAGTGCAACCACTCTGGAAAAAAATATGGAGGCTTCTTAAAAATCTAAACATTGATCTGCCATATAATCTGGCAATCCCATTCCTGGGGATATACCCAAAGGAATGTGACTCAGCTTACCCCAGAAGCACCTGCATGTTTACTGTAGCAGTATTCACAATAGCCAAGTTATGGAAACAACCAAGATGCCCCGCTACTGACAAATGGATTAAGAAAATGTGGTACTTATACACAATGGAGTTTTACTCAGCCATGAAGAATAATGAAATCTTACCATTCGCAAGTAAATGGATGGAAGTGGAGAACATCATTCTGAGTGAGGTTAGCTAGGCTCACCAGACCAAAAATCATATGTTTTCCCTCATATGTGGACTTTAGATCTAGGGCAAATACAGCAATGTTGTTGGACTTGGGTCACATGTTAAAGGGAGAGCACATACAGGAGGTGTGGGGATAGGTAGGAAACCCAAAACATGAAAGTGTTTGGTGTCCCCACGGCAGAGGAGCTAATACAGAAACCTTAAAGCGACAGAGGTCAATATGGGAAGGGGATCAGGAACCAGTGAAAAGGTCAGATAGAGATGAATCAACTTGAGTTGTAACACACTTGTGCATGAAAGCAATGCTAGGTATCTCTCTGTATAGCTATCCTTATCTCAACTGGCAAAAATGCTTTGTCTTTCTTATTATTGCTTATGTCTTCTCTTCAACAAAATTGGAGAAAAGGGCAGAACAGGTTCTGCCTGGAAGTGAGGTGGGGTGTGGGGGAGACGGAAGTGGTGAGGGGTAGGGGGGACAAATGGCCCAAACAATGTATGCACATATAAATAAATGAGTTAAAAAAAAGAAAAAAGTAAGAAGTTGTACTAAGAAGGCCTAGTATCCAAATAAGAGGTAATTCAAAGAGAAAATAAAGTGGGTAGCAAGTATCAAATACTATTTACTAGAACTGCAGGATGAGTTTTCAGTTGAACAGCATCTTGAGAGCCCAATGCAGTGAAGGAAAGTATTCTGACACCAATGTGCATCATTAATAAAATTCAACACTGATGACAATGGAAGATTCTACAAGCTTCCTGAGGAAAAAAATAGGAGGTTTCATGTCAACAGCAGCATCTAGGAAGCTATAAAATATAGCAATGCCTGGAAACATCCATGGAGAAAATAGTGGAATTACATTCTCAGGAAATATCAGTATATTGTGACAGTAGAATAAAGATACCTTCAGCTGTGTCAAATCTCAAGAATTTACATTCTATACCTTTACTAAGATAGTCGCTGAAAAGAGTATGCATTCAAAGCAAGGGAATAAGCCAAGAAGAGAAAAATAAGAGACCGTGAAACTTGAAAACCAACACAAGAGAATGGAAAAACAAATCCTTAAGATGTTAATGGGAGATCCTAGAATGACAATGAAAAGATATCAAAAATAACTGGCAGGCCTAGAGAACAGCTGCTGGTCTACAATGGAGAGTTCATATGTCAGTGCCTTACACAAAAGAGTTTATGATGTTGAACATGGTGGATTATCTAATATGCTTAACAATAATAAAGGCTTAAACTAAAAGAGTAGCAGGACTAAATCAGTGTTAAATACATATCAAACACAACAAACTAAATAAATGGGTTAACTAGAAGTGGGAAGGAAAATTATTCAAGGAAAACAAAATGTAGGGGAAAAGTAACCAGAGCATACCACCTATCTTTGCTTTGAATAACATTTAACATGTACCGATGATGACTCCATTGCTATGGTAAGAGAACGAGAGTATTTAGAAGTACAATCAGGGTTGCAGAAGAGCAACATGGGAATGTGAGAGACCTGAAGCCTCCTATCACTTTACTGACATTTCAAGAGTACATATAAAAACATATTTAGCTATATACAACTAATCACCTAAAAGAGAGTTAGAGATAATTGCCTCTGAAGAGGGATGAGAGATGAAGCAAGGCAATGCTATTTTTCATAAAACCTGGTAGACTAGTTAGTTCTGTATATTTACATATGTAACTTCAATAAAATTTAAAACTGTGATATTAACTGTGCTTTAAGAAAAACAGCTGTATGTATAGGATTTTACTATGTCACATAGATTTTTCTTGCATTGCTTTAGAAAATAGATTTTGTCCCATAGAGACTGATAATTTTTGTTTTCTATTATCAGAACAGATCCAGGCTGTAAAGACGTGAAAAGATAGACTCTGGAAACCTCAACAATTTTAAATTCAACAAATAAATCTAAAGCAAACTGACTACATTCAATTTTTTAAAAGAATGTACATCCAAGAATACTTGAAAATATTCTTCTCACGTTTATGGACTCTGAGCTTTTTAAGAACATAGAACTTCAGGTATGCTAATCTGGCCATTATATAAAAACTAAATCTTCCCTCAAAAGGACCCCTAGAATTACCAGCCTCTTGGTAAAGGTCTACATTTAGTTGTAATTAGAATTGTTTAAAAGTCAGAGTTATTAGTCATTTTAATACCCTATCATGATTTATATTATCTTTGATGTATTTTAATTTTTGTCTTTTAAAAAATTTAGTGTATGGTATGACTGCAGTATAAATTGTGCTTGTGAAACAGAAATTTAAATATTTATAAGGGAACAGGGGGTAATTAATATCTATTAAGTTTTTACTGTGTGTCACTAATAATAAAACAAAAAATGCAATGAGCCAACAAGTGTGTGCTTTGTTCATGCTGAAAATGATAATGTTGTATTAATATGGTATTTGGTGTTTTACCATAAAGCATATGTAAATGATCTGAGATCAAATTAAATTTATTTATTCCATGTGTATTGAACATCTCTCTACCTAGCTATTATCCAAGCATAGTCCTAGCCAATGATGGGGATATATAAGACACTATTTTCACAGAACTTTAAATTTAATGAGGAAGAATTTGAGTACCTTTTCATACATGGGAAATAGTTCTATTTCATTAGCTGAATGAAAATAGTGTATCTTCAGATTTACAGGTATAAATATTAATCAGTGTTTGACTTATTAAATTTTACCACTGCTTGTTATTTCCTTTATGCCTCCATTTTAGTCAGCTTTCTGTTACTGTGACAAAATACTTAATACAATCAATTTTTAAAAAGCAAAGGTTTGTCCTGGCTTACAGTTTGGATGTTTCAGTCCTGGTCAGCCTGTTGCTTTGGTGCCCTTGGCAAAGCACTACATCATGTCTGAGGCATGTAGCAGAGCTACTCACCTCATGACAGCTAGGAAGCAGAAGACAAAAAGAGAAAGGACTGGGTAATAAAATCCCCTTCAAGTCCACATCCCAGTGAAGTAACTTCATTAGTCTACTTCCTAGAGGGTCCACAACCTTAAAATATCCTTCAACTCATGAGCCTTTGGGGATTTAAGATCCAATTTATAACAGCCTCAGATTTACTATAGATAGTAGCAATTTGTAAAATTGTACCTCAATTAACTGTTTGCCTAAAAGTAAACTTTTTGATAAATATTCTATATAATTTTACATATATCCCAGGCACACAAATTGTTTCATTTCTCACAAATTAAAAGACCACATAAAAGTATGAACTTAGGTAGAAGCTTTAAATTGATCACAAAAAACTTGTCATAGATCAATAGTGCTGATCCTGAAAACATTGCATATTTTAAAGAAAAACTAATTTATATTGTATAACACCTTTAACATCTATCCATGGCTATGAAAATGATGAAGACAAAAAAAGCAAAAAGGTGAGTGATGTGTTATATTACACAAATATATACAAATGGTAGTATATATTCTGTTGAGTTCTTAATAAAATAAAACTACAGTAAAGGTCAATAATCCAATTCTCAAAGTCCAAAAATGCCAGTGATTTGGCATTTGAATATTTCAACAGTCCAAGCAACTTCTCTAGCTTACTTGCCTTTCATAAATTATTTTGATGAGACTACAAGGTAAGAATCTTATTAATCTCTAGATTAATTTTGGAAGGATGGAGAAAGAACACAAATCTTCACCTATGACAGCAGTAGTTACCACCATATGAACACCATAGTATGAACCAGGCATTACTATACATTCAGAATTTTGTACCATTTAATCCTCATGGTAACCTTATGTATCTTTCCTATTATCTGTTTTATAGATTAGGAAATGGGACCTAAAAAGGTTTTGTAATGTGCTGAAAGTCATAGCGCTACTCAATGGGGGGAGGGGGGAGGTGCTAGGCTTTAAAATCAAGCAATTTGTTTAAAATGGATGATTCAAGGTAGATACTAGAGATATAGATGTATTTACCCAAAAATAAATAAAATGAAAAGATCAGTAGACAGGTCAGAGACCAAGAACTTCTAGGGTTTTGTTTGTTTGAATCTGTTTGGTTTTCACTATTTGTTTTAGGACTAGTAACATTAACTTTTAAACTCTGGTGGCATAAATGTGATGCATTTGCTTATTTGACAATTACTTTGATAAAAATACTTTTTTTTTTTGCAGTACTTAGCCTTAAAATTAGGGCCTTGTGTTTGCTAGGCAAGTGCCCTACCACTCAATCCACACCCCTAGTCCTTTTGCTGTTAGTGTTTTTTGAAATAGAGTCTTGCATTTTTTGCTCAAGCTGGCCTTGGTCTGTGATCCTTCTACCTTTGCCTCCCAAGTGGTTGGGAAGTGTGCATGTGCCATTACATGCAGTTTTGTGCTGAGACAGGGTCTTGCCAAGGCAGGCCTCAAACTGCAATCCACCTTCTGAGTAGCTGGGATTACAGGCTTGTATCACCACCCTGCCGAAAAATAATTCTTCAAGCTATTTTCATACTAAGTTAACTAGTACTCCACCTATGCAAATATTTAAAAGAATGAAAAATCTCTTTATGATCACCGAGACCTAGCTTATAAACTTCATATGTGACTACATTTTCAGGTAAAGACTACTCTGTAGAAGCTAATTGAGCAAAAATACAGGATGTCACATGTATATAAACTAAGATTATTGTGTTGGTATCTCACATGTAATTAAAATGTATCTCATTAAAGCAAAGGCAATTGTTTTTTCATGTTTAGACATTATAAAGTTTAATTCATTATGCCTCTATTTGAATATAACAGCTTGTAAAATGTTCAAATCTTATAGTGTGTATGTTTGCATTTAAATATTTGTGTGCTGGCTTATCCAGTCTGTGTCTTAAAAATAATGAAAGAACTGAGTTTATCATTTCCATTTATAGGCTACTAAAAACTTGAATTGACTTCTAATTACCTTAAGATTTTTTTCTTTGAGATTTTTGGCACATCAATGTTATGGTTTCCATAAATATATGCTTAAGTACATGCATAAATATATAAATCCTTAATCGGACCTCAAGCTGCCATAACAAAGTGACATATACCGGATGGCTTATATACAACAGAAACTTATTTCTCACAGTTGTGGCATCTGAAAGCAGGGTGCCAGCATTGTCAGGTCCTGGTAAAAGCCCTCTGCCCAACTGCAGAGTGCTCTCTTCTCATTGCATCCTCACGTGGCAGAAAAAAAAAAAAACTCTGTGGATCCCTTTTATAAGGCCACTGATCCTACTATACACTCACATGGCTCCACCATTATGAATTCGCAACCTCCCAAAAGCCTTAACTCCTAATATCATCAGATTTGGGAGGTTAGGATTTGAGCATATAAATTTTGGAAGAACACAAATGTTCAGTCCATTGCAGTATTTAAGGCAAATTCATCTCTGTAACTCTCGTGTGTTCAAATATTATTTTAACTGACTGTGTATGGTTTCTGATTTTTTTTTATTATTTTCTCTTTTTTTTTTACAGGTTCACTACCTACTATATACTTTACTTTTTATTGAAAGTATCTTCAACTCATAATACAATGTTTTCTGAGTTTTGCCACACATTTTACTGTTAAAGGTTTAATTAATTACATGCAAGTAATGTGAATGGTTTTCCCCACATGGGAACACTGACTATAAAAAGATGACATACCACATGAATTAAGTGTCTTTTTTAATTGTAAAGCTAACAAATTGTCTACTTAAATTTCTCCCAAAAACCCACAAACCAGGTAGTAACTAACTCTAGACAACATATTCAAAGCTGAGATTTTTTTTTTAAAACGTGCTCTAGTCCAATTAAGAGAGCCCTGCTATGTGTAAGCTAATCAGTATCAGTGGTACGTGCTTGACTCTAGGAGTCTGGATGACATCCCAATATCCCCCCTCAGAACATTAACTTCAAGTAGGCCTTTTCCAGTTTCCAACTCATGAATAAAGATAATATAACTTTTTGCTAGTTGCTTTATTTACAATGCCAACTTTTAAAAGCTTAACTAGAGTTAACTGGGCAATGAGCTAACCAGAAATTGCTTGACAGAAAAGAGGGAAAGCCCAAAATGCCACTTTCTACAGAGAACCCATAGTTCAGTTTTATTCAGAGTAAAGAAAAAATCTTTCACTCATACTAGCAGAAACTCAGCCATAGGTTTGGAGTCTGTACTCAAACCACATATACAATAAGGACAATCTCAAACTCTCTCATTTCTTAGTTTTAAAAATAAATGCCTGACATTAGAAGTTTACTTAAATGAATACTTTATATACTTCTGTGGTGAGAGAGAAATGCTGTAGCAATTGAGAAACGGATGTGTTTACTTGAATGTTCAAGTAATTTAGTTATATTTTCGTAGTGAATCTTTCCTGGCATGGATGCTCCTGGTTAAGTTTGCAAGGCACCGCCACAGATCAGTCAACTGTAGTGCTACACTTAGAGGATTCATCATCATACATTGTTATAAAGTTCACTTCTGGCAATTTAAAATAAACTAAAAAAGATATCTTCAGAGGGATTCGAAGATGGTGGCTACAGGGAGGAAGCAGAAAGCGAGACTCCTATAGTGAAATCTTGGAGAGACGCTGGAGACACACTTTGCAGGCATAATCACTGAGAAGAGGCATAACTTTGACCCCTCCACACCTCCAGCCAGCGCACAGAATCTCCACTTCACGTTAAATGGAGAAACCAGGAGGGCTCCCGGGCCGCCAGTCGCTCGCGCCCAGATGGCTTGGGAAGACGCGGACCAGGTGAGCTTCGTGGTACCATGGTACTCCCACAGACAAGCATGGGCCAGAGCAGCATAGCCCCCTGAGCAGACTGACCTCCACCCGGGGAAAAAAGAGAAACTGAGTAATAAGCAATAAGAACAATAAAGACACTCGGGAAACGGTGGGGTGCACTGAGCGCCGAAGATTGGGGGAAGGGAATCCTTCCCAGGACTGTAAATAAACAAGCCGGGCAGGCCGGAGAGGCTCTGGTGGGAGTAGGGGCAGGGCGTGCACCCAGCAACCAGGAGCAGGAAAGCTAATGAGAGTGGCGGAGGGAGGAAAACTCCACATGAGAGGAGGGAAGACCCACTTCCCACGTGAACTGTAAACAAACATGATGGCTGGCAGGAGCAGCAGCACCACCCAGTAATCAGGAGGAGGAAAGCTTGTAAAAGTGGCGGTGGGAGGAAAACTCCACAGGAGGGGGGAAGACCCACCTCCCACATGAACTGTAAATAAACACGCAGGCCTGACAAAC